GCACAGACGCACACAGCCTCACTTTGTAACGACACTGATTGGGTTGCGATCGTTGGTAATACAGCACGCTACCGGATGCCGCCGCTCGGCCGGCGTGCCACCGCGGAAGGGCGGAAATGAGCATGCGGAGCACCGGCAGTCTGCCCAGGCCCAAGCCCAAGGCGTCCGCGGCACCGCACGCGGCCGTGTTCCCCAATAAGCCCAAGACGTCCGCGGCACCGCACGCGGCCGCGTTCCCCAATAAGCCGCACGGAATGAAAACGGCTGCCCAGTGGAGCGCGGTGTATGTAACAAGACAAGAGGTGTGTGTAGCAAGACAAGACAAATGCCGTGCCAGCAACAACTGCGCTGCGCCAAATCCAGTCAAATCACGTATGTCGAAGTTCAGAGGCAGACAGTTCATTGGTAATCGAGTGATGGTGAAATTTACATGGCATTTCCGAAATGGCCCTGACGACCATCTCACGGTTTGCCATTACAGTCGCTGCAATGCACATAAAACAGGCTGTGACGTCATCGATTCTGCAGTGTGCGGCAGGTGCACAGGAAAAGGCGCATTCCCCACACGTATCGTACTGTGCGATGATCTTATCCTACACTGCTAGTGATACGTGGCTTACACCAAACTCATCCACGTAGATGTCGCTGTACGTCATATGACAATGCAAGGCACTTGTCACCTTACCACAGAATGTTTCTCGGGACTACGGCTGTGGCTTGGAAGACTACATCTACACTTCTTTGCTTATAGTTATAAAAAATAATTGACAATCATGAGCGAAACGAGACGTTGAACTATGTAAATCGACGGCGCATAATCGCAGTTTCGATTCACAGTATTTTCTTTCCTTTTAGATGCTCGGAGAATATCGTCTATTAGAGTAATTCTGAAACAAATACCGCGTTGCCTTGCACAACCATGGTGCTTGTTGAGGGCTTGCAAGGATATTGGACCGTGACGGTAACGCTAATCACCCGCCACCTATATGAAGATGACAGCACCATCGCCAGGCTCGGTCCGGAACACGATTGTGTCCAGGTTCAAGCTCTCGGCGTTCGGGCGCCGCGCGTAGAACTCGGCCTTCAGCTTGTTGATGTACTCATCCGCACGCTCTCCCGGCACCAGGGCCACGGCGCATCCGCCCCACCTGGAACAGGCGGCAAGACACGCTGGTCACAACCTAGTCCTACTCCGACCAAGCCATGCACTTCCGTCCGGCTTGCGTGGTTCATCATCCAGCCTCTGTGAAAAACGGACTGATTGATGACGCTGGAAAATACTGAATGACCCGTGCTGATCGCCCGCCAGCGAGTACTCTGTGGGTAGTCGCACGTGACCAGGCGCAGCGGTGGCATGCTCAGCATCGCCTGTGATGTGCTGGAGGGTGGCATGGTGCATGCATTACAACGGACAGTTCATTGCTTGGTTGCTTTTCGTGATAGAAGCCTGAAATCTCTTTGTTTGTTGATTGGAGTTTTAGGGCGCGTCGACTACTGTGGTCATTTTGAGCCCAGTTGAAATCTCTTTTGTGTGGCACCAAGAACGCTGTATGGTTCCATGGATGCCGGTGGCTATAGCAGGTTTTCACTTGAAAAAGGACAAACTCACTTCGGTCAAGGCCATTTCTACTCGCAGGCAATGCACCACACGCGCTCCGCTCTTCCCAGAGCGGAGGCTTGTTACCCCTGGTATCCTTTGGCGGGCTTGTGGCCCCCTGGCACCTTCCGATAGGTCTGTGAGCTATGGCACCGCTCGGTAGGTCTGCGACCCCTGTCTCCGCCCGGCAGGTCTACCACCCTAGGCGCCGATCGGTAGGTCTGCGACCCCAGGTGCCGCCTGACAGGTCCGGGACCCTTGGCGCCGCTCAGCGGGTCTTCGACCCCTGGCGCCACCCGACAGGTACCGACCCGGCTCCGGTGAGACGCGCCCCGTAGGCCAGCCCCTCGGAGAGCCGGCAGATGGTGTCGAGCAGCTCGTGGCTGCACTGGTACAGGTCGCGGCACGAGGCGTGACTGTCGTTCATCAGCTGGCCCATCTGACTGAGGGCGTCCTCGCCGCCCGCCTCGCAGACGGCGCGGAAGGCGAACACCCGGCCGGCCTCTGCCGGGGGGGGGGGGGGGGGGTCAGGGTGCGGCGCCGCGTGTGAGCAGGATGCTATGGCAACCGCCTGACCATGTAATGAGGTCTGTCATAGTCGATCTATATTGCAGATATCACCCGACGCCACGGCCGGAAAAGTCACATCCAAAGCACGGGGCTGCAAACTGGTTTCATTCGTCACCAGTGTTAGCTTAGCAATTCAACAGCACCGCCGCATCCCGAGCAGAGCCGCCGCCGACTCACACCGAGGGCATGGGTTGAGAAGCTGGCCCTCAGATACCTCTGGCAAACCTCATGGCCCGGTAAGCGCATGGCGCACATTCACGTATTCCACCGCCAAGCCAATCAAGGTCACCATCATCATCCAAGCCAAGGTCATCAATAATTCAGGCGTGAACCTTCAGTTTCAAAGAACTGCCGTCGGCGGCGGCGCCCGATCGCCTGTTGCCGTGATTGACTTAAGAGCACATGCAGAAGCGCTCTCTGTTGGGGCTTGGGCCCGATGGCTGACCTTGGAACACGTGCAGCGCCCTCTGGTAAGGCCTGAACTCGGCGATGTGGCGCGTGTTGGGGCTGAGAGTGATCTCGTCCAGCTGCGACTCAGTGATTCCCAGCTCCACGCATATCTGACGGGTCAGGTCAGATCAGGTCGGGCGGGTCCGGGTGGCGCAAAGGTGCCCAGGTCGAGTCGGGTCAGGAAGCTGACCGATAGTCGCTGCACACGTGTTTGACGGGCTTGGGGTCACGTCAGGTCAAGAGGGCTCATGTTGCCAGTTCCACGCATATCTGACGGGGTCAGGGCTAGAACAGGAGGGCAAGGGAACGCATGGATCTGAAGCTGAAGACATATCTTAAGTGCTCAATGCGGTTCACTCTATACATGTTGCATGAAAATTGTTTACAGGACACTTTCTGTCTCCACAAACCAATGTCAATTGTAATACAAAGGCTGTTGTCTTAATTTGTTGTTAAGTTATGTGACTCGTGCGCTGTCATGGTAGCCCATGCCCCCCCTCCCCCCCCCCACCCGGCCTTGTGAGGCGGCATGCCCCCTGACCTCCTTCTTGCTGTAGGGCTCCTCGTGCAGCACGGACCGCACCAGCCGGGCCATCTCGTCAAACTGCAGGCGCAGCTCCTTCTGCAGGTCGCCCAGGCGGCGGTACTTGGACCACTCCAGACCGCGGCTCTTGGCCAGCAGCTGGCGGATCGAGGAGCACGGTCACAGCCTTGACCCGGGAGCGTCAATAAAAAAGACATGACATTCGTATCTGTATACTTAACAACGGATTACGGGGATCGCAAAGATGATGCAAACTTTGAAGGCAGGTTTTTAGGTCAGATTAGAGCTCCTTCAACCTCAAAGAGAGTTGCATGCCAATGGAATCAAGGAAGCAGCTGAACGGCAGGGAGACGCTGCTCGCTTCTAAAGTTGTCTCCGCTGCTCAGACCTGCCGCTGGAATCTTACGTCGGGTACACGTGGGTGCTCGAGCGGGGCTCTCACTCAGGCCGGCGGGGGCGGGCCCACGGCCAACGGCCGCGGCGTGCGCCTTGCGTGGCGACTTCTCGTCAGCATACACCGTGAAGCGCTCAGCGAGAACAGAAGACCACGCAAGGCCACGCACTCAAGACACGAGGCTCGCTGCCAGCACGCTTCGGCAGTGGGAGGCCGGGTGGCGGCTCCGAGCAGCCTGTTCCGTCGGCGGCGCCGGCCGCTCCGGCTCACCTGCGTGGCCAGACGGCATTCCATGACGCGGCAGTTGAAGTCGGAGGAGGCCGCCTTGTTCTTCTCGGCCAGGCTGTTGGCGATGACGAACACGGCGCCGGGCGGCAGGCGCACGTCCTGCGCGCGCAGCGGACTGAACTCGATCAGCTTGGCCGTGCCTGGAGCGTCGGAGGGGGAGGCGTCAGGGGGCGGGGCAGGATGTCGAAGACCACAACTTAGCCGTGGCTGACAGGGGGAGCATGGCGTATTTTCGCAAAATGAGTTGGGGCTGAACAGTGAAAAATGACTCAATCTGGCCCCAAAATATGCCAACAAGCAGGTTTCTCCACGGATTTTGCCCGCTTCATCCCGAAGATGGGTCAGGGCTGAAGTCCAAGTTAGGGGGTCTGAAGCTCCCAACAGAACAGAAAGCACACCCCTGAGGAGAAGTCAACTGTAACCTGGACAGGTGCGAAACCCGACATCAAATATTGGGAGGGATATTGGCGTTGCATAATATGGGGTCAGATTCGGATTGCGTTTCGAATGTTCGACAAACAGACCCGAAGCGTTCGCTGTTTTCGCGTTCCGGGGAAGGGCCTGCACCGTTGATCCCTGCACCCCGACAGTGGATGTGGAGCCGACAGGAATCACTCAGGCCGGTGAGATGAGAATGACTAGCGGCCAGAGGACGTGCGTGGCAAAGATACTGAGGCCATACACGTTGGGAACGGGTTAACCTGTAATGTAGAAGACAAAGAGGTGAAGAAGTGTAGAGAATACCTCTAAGAGCAAGTATGAGTGAGTGAGCAGGAAGCGAGTGCGGCCATGAGCTGACGACAGGAGCGTCTAAGGTGGTGCCACTGACCCTTCTTGGCGAGGAAGCAGATGGCCTGGTCCATGCCGCCGCCCTCGGTCCCGATGTGCCGCTCCGCCCGGGCACACATGCTCGCTATCTCCGACTTGGTCATCGTTACCTGGCGGGCACAAGTACAGGCGGCTTAGACAGACAGGCATGATGTACGCACCTCTGTGTAAGCATTCGCAAAACACAATTTCCAGTGTGATGATGATGATGATTGGGGTTTTAGGGCGCGTCGACTTCTAGGGTCATTTTGCGCCCATAACAGCTAAGTGTTTACCGTGGTGTATAAATGGCTGTGAATCCTACGCTTCTCAAAAATGAAAACAGCTGTCCGGTGCCAAGCATGCGAGAATCGTCACCAATAAGGTCTGAAAAGGTAAGACCTGACGCATCTCGTCCGAAGTAAAGTGCCCGCTCTTCTCTGAACTGTGGGCAGGAGTGAATAACGTGGCGAACCGTAAGTGGCGCACCACAGCGAGGACATTTAGGGCGTTCTTCACCGCACAAAAGCGTCGTGCAAAACACCGCACAAAAGCGTCTATGTGTTGCGTGCGTGTGGCCAATTCGTAACCTGCTGAGGGTTACTTTCATGGTGGATACTACTTATTCTTAAAACCGTCTCTTCATTGCGTCAGCAGTTCATGCCCTCCCGAAATTCTAAATGTGAGCATAGGAGTGGTCTTTTTCATTTGCAGTCAGGGCAAGTCGTCTCAACCCTCATGTAATGTTCATACCACTATCATTTCAAAATAAAAGTCGCGGGAATTCGATCTATTGTAATGTTATGGGACGCTGGAAAACGGTACTGGTACAGGCGGAATAGTCTTTAGGACTACCCGCCTCGACAGCAGCGTTGGTTTTGACACGTTTCCGCGCTTAATTTACGTCGTTACAAGGTTTATTGTTGCTTCGTGATTGGCACCTCTGTCCTCCCAATTTAGGGTGATGGGTTCGCAGCTGACGGACACCAAAACCTTCGAGGTTGTGACGCAAAATACGGTTATGCGCCAAACGTCCTCAGTCCCTGTCAGGATGAAGCCACGCACAACTAGCTCCGCTCAATCGGTCTCCCCTGACCGCGTAAGAAAATTTTCTATACGCTCGGCGAGCTTTATACATGCAGTGAACTTGGTCCAACTTAGTGACCACATCACGCAGCCCGTCGGCAAATACAACATGACTGTAATCAGTATCGCGATGACATTTTCAAAGTAATTTAAATGAGGCTTCCGAACCCTCCTGGCGTCAATTAAGTTCCGGCACCAGTGTCTGTGTGTCAGTCAGTGTCAGTGTCAGTGTCAGTCACTGCCGCTCGGTTGGGGGGTAGAGTACAGTTCGAAGTACAGTACGGTTCAAAGCAGTAAGCATCGAAATACAGTTTGCCGGACTGCACGTTGATACTGAATCCGTCAAAGACGTTCATGCTGGCACCTGACCAAGCCAGGACCGACAGCCCGCGGGCGGCCGGCTGCGACGAGTTGCGACACGTTTATGATCGTTCAGTGATACCTGGGAGAAGACCACAGCAAGAATGTGCCGCTGATAGCATGCGCACTGCGCTGGGTGAGGTGGAACGCGCTTCTGGCTGGCGTGGGCTATCGAGGTAGGGATCCAGCCAGTAACGCATGGCCGGCCTCTTCATGCTCGGCATGAGAGGCCCGAGCAATGAGATGATGTGTAGTCCACAAAAACGTACTTTCTCATTTCTTCATGCAAGCAAGACATCATAGATTCAAGTACTGGGGAGCGAGGCCGATGCGTTTGTAACGAGCTATGTTTAGCGAGCACCCTAATCCCAGGAACCAGACCTGTTTAGCAGGACATCCGGCCGCATTAAAACAAAACGCTTCCGATAACATATGAAGAAACATAGCTCCTGAACACCCAGATTTCCTCGCAAAAATAAGTGGGCTTCACGGAAGTCGCACTTCTGCCAGAGCCGGTGCCATGCTACCCCTGCACTAACTGGAATGGACGGGAGCAGTGGGTGATGCTGCAGCGGCGGCGCCAGTCGGTGTATCGCAGTTATAGATAACAGTCAGTGCGGTTTTGCGAAAGGCTTGTGTTATAAGCAGGCTTTATCTGGATAAAGCCCGAGTAGAGTCAGTCACCTTTGCTTTGTTCACCTCTGTGCTGACTGACTGATTGACTGATGAAGGTGGCGTTGAATAAACGTCACGAGACTTGCCGACAGATCAGACGAGCTCAGAGCTAAGATGGCCGCCGCCAGAGGACGACAGCACAGCCCGTGAGGGACGAGCGCGGGCAATCCCCGGCGCTGCATGGATGGTGATCACGCTATCGCTAGTCACGAACTCTCGGCAGACGGGCAGACCTGGGGCAACGGGCCGCCAGCCACGAGCTCCCGGCAGACGGGCAGACCTGGGGGCGACGGGCCGCCAGTCACGAGCTCCCGGCAGACGGGCAGACCTGGGGCAACGGGCCGCCAGTCACGAGCTCCCGGCAGACGGGCAGACCTGGGGCGACGGGCCGCCAGTCACAGGCCAGCGCCGAGCCGGGCGACCTAACGGTAATCCCGGCCGGCAGCGGAACAGTGTAGTTTTGCGGTGTTTCAGGGGCGCCGGCCGCAGCGGTCGCGCAGCTGAACGTAACCGGCGCCGCCGCCGGAGCGGAGAGGCTTCAGACGTCGTGCAATAAATGGCGACCGGAGAGATGGACCGTGCAATAAACGGCCGGAGAGATGGACCGTGCAATAAATGGCGACCGGAGAGATGGACCGTGCAATAAACGGCCGGAGACAATTTGAAAGCTCGGCCGAGCCGAAAAAACGCATAGGACTTAAGTGAAGATAACACCCGCGGCCGCCGAGGGCTTTCCGGAGAGCTCGTCCTGAGCAACATTCAGCTCAAAGACTACTGAGTGCACTTTTCAAAGGCTGTTATTTGCACCTGCTGTATCAAGCTGGTTTTCGAAAGCACGCTGTCTTCTCGGTGCTATGAGAGCGGCTATTGATTTACCGAGAGCGCCTCGTGCGGCGTCACTTCAATTACGGTTGTCATGACTGGTTTTTGCTTAGGCTACAAGTTACTTTCGTTCCATGGTTAACCCATCACATGTCATTTGGATCACCATCTTGCTAATACTCACGCGTTTCTGTCAGTGCCTTAGCGCGGTACATCATGCACAGCAAACAGCACAGTAGCACAAGCAGTGTTTGTGTGTTTGGTGAGAACATCCCTATCACAGCATCTGAGCGCCCACCTCCAGTCCGTGGCACCTATGCCGAGTCAACGCGTACCGGAAAAAAATACGCTTTGGCGGCCTGACAATACTAGGACCAATATAAACGCATCTGAGCCGCAATATTCGCACACTACGGTCTCGAGAATATAGCAGCACCTGGAACATTGATCGCCTGCTTCGCTGGTTACCACGGGAGACGATCAGCCAAGCGGACAGTGACACCAGTCCGCACTCAAGACGGGGCTCTTCAATACGTGATGTTGTCAGGTCGCAGCTGGTACTCTAAGCCTCGCCGCACGTACCTACGATCAACGATGCCGTGCCTGATACTGTTAACAGTGTGTCGTCACAAACGGATATGCCAGCAGCAGGCCAAGCTCCCAAAGCCGAGAGCGAGGTCTTAACGTGCTTTGATTCTTGCGTTATAACCAGTCTCTCAGCATTCACATCGTGAGTACGATGATGAGCGGTACGCTTTGTTTCGCAGTACAGATCTGACAAAACCAGTGGCATGGCATGGGGTTAGAAGTGCAATTCCGGACCATGAACGCACAGCTTTACTGGCATCCGGTGGTGGGGAATGGGTATCGTTCAGTGAGCAGCGATCCCTCTGAACAGAGGCATGGCTACAATCTGATTGCCTGGTAGCTAACATGCCTCATCTCATGGTCGGTCTCTGGTCTCGCCTGACGTGGCCTGAGCGACAGACGCTGAACCCGACTCTGACCCTGATGTGATCCTGACCCCGACGTGACCAATCACACCGACCCTATTCCTGGCTCATGACCCCCGGCGTGGCCCTGACCCCGACGTGACCCATAAAACCGACCCGAATTCAGGCCCCGATGTAACCCATGATCCCGACCCCAACCCTGGCCCTGGTCCCGACGTGACCCGTGACACCGACCCCATCCCTGACCCCAACGTGACCTATGACCTTAATGTGACCCATAATCCCGACGTGATCCATGGCCCGACATGATCCATGCCAGCGACGTGACCCATGACCCTGATGTGACCATGACCCTGGCGTGACCCACGACCACCCTAACTGATCCATGACCTCGGCGTGGCACATGGCCCCCACGTGAGCCGAACCGATGAGGCTGCACTCTGACCTTGTTGGCGTGCGCGGTGGCCAGTGCGGCGGCGCAGACCAGCGCGGAGGAGCTGGAGAGGCCGCTGGAGGGTGGGATAGTGCCGCTGACGGCCATCTGCAGACCAGCGACGCTGCTCAGCCGGCCGTGCTCCTTCACCCCAAGCACGCCGCACAGCACGTAACTGGACCAGGGCACGCTGTCCGACCGCTTCTCCACCCTGCGACACACCAGAGAAGAGCTGACATCGACTGGACCAGAGCACGATTTCCGACCGCCTCTCCACCCCGCGGCACACTAGACAGGAGCTGACATCGACTGGACCAGGGCACGCTTTCCGACCGCCTCTACACCCTGCAGCAGACTAGACAGGAGTTGACATCGAGTGGACCAGGGCACGCCGTCCGACCGACTCTCCACTCTGCGACACACCAGACAGGAGCTGACATCGATTGGACCAGGGCACGCTGTCCGACCTCTTTTCCAGCCTACGACACATCAGACAGGAGCTGACATCCACCGGGCATCGTTGTCGAACCTGAGCTCCTCCGTGGAGCAGCTGAAGTCGTCGTAGCTGCGCTCGATGTTGGCCAGGCTGAGGCTCGGCTTGTTGGTCGTTCTGACCGCCATCAGGATGTCCTGCTGCACCGCCATCGGGAACACGGAGTAGCCGCAGTAGTCGATGTGTTCACCGATCAGGTTGACTCTGTGAAGCCACGGTCGGTGGCAGGGTCAGAAGATACACCACAGCGTCCAGTCAGCAGCGCTCAGAGCGTTCGGTGGCATGGTCAGAAGATCCACCATAGCATCCAGTCAGCAGCGCTTAGAGCGTTTGGTGGCAGGGTCAGAAGATCCACCACAGCGTCCAGTCAGTAGCGCTCAGAGCGTTCGGTGGTAGGGTCAGCAGGTCCACCACAGCGTTCAGTCAGCAGCGCTCAGAGCGTCTGGTGGCAGGGTCAGCAGGTCCACCGCAGCGCTCAGTCAGTAGCACTCAGAGCGTTCGGTGGTAGGGTCAGCAGGTCCACCACAGCGTTCAGTCAGCAGCGCTCAGAGCGTTCGGTGGCAGGGTCAGCAGGTCCACCGCAGCGTTCAGTCAGTAGCGCTCAGAGCGCTTGGTGGCAGGGTCAGCAGGTCCACCGCAGCGTCCAATTAGCAGTGCTCAGAGCGTTTGGTGGCAGAGTCAGCAGGCCCACCACAGTGTCCGGTTAGTGGCGCTCGGTGGGCATTGCTGATTGTGACGTCAGCTTTTCTCAGTAGCTGGCTCCATCATGCAGCACTGGCAATAACTTTGTCAATGCATGGGTGCAGCTCCTACAAGCTACAAGAGGATATTTCGCAGCTTTGCCAGCCAGAAGGGGTGCCGTTTCGCAACATGGATTGGACAGGGGGATGTGCTGTGAAAATGATCAATCTACCCTCAAAATGCGTCAATAAACGTATTTTACCCAGATTTAGCCCACTTTTCTTTTAAAGCTGGGGGCTGGAGTCCCAGTTGGAAACTGAATAGTAAACTATACCCCTACCAGCCAGCTAATAAATGACTGATGAGGTACACAGCTGTGGCGAATTTTTGTGCTTTAAGCGACTCATTCGACAATAGAAGGATGGCCAATGTGTGATCCTATTTATATGCAGGTGTACAGGCAGCAAGCCTCTGCACACCCAGTTGGTTGAGCCATATGCGCTATTATGAGGATCGTACCACTGCATCTCATGTGAGCGAGATTGCGGCCGGCTCGCGGAGACGCTGACATCCCGCGCTGAGCTCACCTGCCCAGCGCCCTGACGAAGAACTCGATCTCACCTGTCCGGCGCCCTGACGTAGAACTCGATCTCACCTGTCCGGCGCCCTGACGTAGAACTCGATCTCACCTGTCCGGCGCCCTGACGTAGAACTCAATCTCACCTGCCCAGCGCCCTGACGTAGAACTCGATCTCACCTGTCCGGCGCCCTGACGTAGAACTCAATCTCACCTGCCCGGCGCCCTGACGTAGAACTCGAGCTCACCTGCCCGGCGCCCTGACGTAGAACTCGAGCTCACCTGCCCGGCACCCTGACGTAGAACTCGAGCTCACCTGCCCGGCGCCCTGACGTAGAACTCGGGGGGCTGGCCGTACCGCTTCTCGAAGAACTCGCCCAGAGCCTTGAGCCGCTCATGCTGCGCGCCCGTGACCTTGCTCAGGTCGAGCACAGCCGGGCTGTCCTCCCCCATGTCGATCCTGGAGATAGCAGCTGTTATCAGACCGGAGGCCGTGGCGTGCCAAGCGACCTATCTTTACCGCGAGCCGCGCAGCAGAAGCCCGGAACAAGCCGGGCTCGCGACAGAAGCGGTCTTCATCGGAAGGGGCCTTAGAGAGATTTATACAGTCACTTGTTCCTGGATCGCAACCGCACAGAATGGTCATTCAGATTCCTGCATCACGCCCGTTACGTTTGACGTGGCATGGCGTCGTCCCAAACAGAGCGGACAGTGTAGGCGTGTAAAACCTGTGAAAATCAGCGGGCAAAGATATCCACCTTGCGACAGCTGGTCACCTTCCCTTAGAGCAAGGAGTCATTAGCTTTGGGGGTTTAAAATACCTAGTTTTTTCAATGTAGGTTCAGTACTGAATGCTAGAGACCCAGCCTCGAGTTGGCCGAGTAATTCACCTGCCTGCCTGACAATCTCTGCCCACGAACTCGCTGACCTCTGTCTCATGAGCCTGCCTGTTGCCTGAGCGGGCAGCCACGAGCGACCGAACATGAGGCGCCCATCCCCGACTCCTGGCGCCCAGCCCGGCCCTCCGCATCCGGTGTTCGGTAACACAGCGACCCGCCGCCGCCTGCCACCTTTACGACCTCGCTGCACGATAGTGTCGGCGCCCGGCCGACCTCCGCATGACGCCGGAGTCGCGGTGCCCTGGGCTCGGTCGGCGCGGCGGCGATTGCGGCCGAGGTTGACCTTGAACTTGAACTGCGAGTGGCGGGTCCCGGCTGCGGCCGCGGTAATCGCGCGGTACCTGCGCAGTGGGAGGGGGAGGAGGGGGAGGGCAGGGGAGGGGAAGAAATGTCGGTAGGGTTCGCTGTGCGTGGTGGCGTAATCGCGGCAGCCGGGCTGCTACCGCGCTTAGGGGAAGCTGATGAGATGCCTGATTTATGGAGGCTGGGCAGCTGCTGTCAGTGTGGGCAGAAGACGGGTGATGCGTCGCAACGCCGCCCTTTATCGGCGCCTGGGAGGCTGCAGCTGGCCGTCCGGGCCCAGCGACTGCTGGCGGCGGGGAACCCGCACGGCCGGCGGGGACGGGAAAACCGTGACGAAACTGGTCACGCGGATGGGCACGTTCTTTGAACGTTGTGACGCAGTTCTCACGAAGCGGTGTTGGCGCGGCACGGACTGGCAGGTCAGTCACGCGGCACGCGTGAGTGAAGGAACGACGTGGTGCGGGGACGGAGGACGTGATGCGGGGATGGAGGACGTTCCCACCCGCGGATATGAATGTCATGTGTGATGGATGACTCAGTCAGCGGAGACCACTGGGCGGGCTGCCTGAGCTGGCCACGAGACCGCGCGATCTCGGGCCGTCCGGACTCGCCGGCTATTTATACGGCTCACGACCGGGCGGCCGTCGCCGTCGGCAGCGGCGGCTGCGTCAGTGGGCCGATGGCAGAGACGGCGGCAGCAGCCTTCGGCGAACACACCAACCCGCCACATTGGCCCGGTCTGGGCAACCAACAGCAGTGCAGGCCTGGCCAACGGGACTTAAGATCTCGGCCACAAGTGCAGTACTGTTGTTACTGGCGACAGACACGCGGCAGACAGGTACGACGAATCCAAAATTGGCCCATTGGTCGAAATAGCCCACCAAAGCTCCACAATTTCGTGATAACCTTATGCTCTGGAAGATGTCAGTCATGGGTGTGTCTCAAAGCCCCATAATCCCCATCTCTGGAATGAAGTAAGCACTAGCCCGTTGCAAATCCTAACCATACGTCACAAAAGCGTGGCGCAGCAGTTGCGGCCTGCGTACCTGCGCTCCTTCATGGCGGCTGGTCGGCGTCCGAGGCAGCTAACGCAGCGCGCCACACACCACACACCCGGCCGATTGATCGCCCAGCGACGACTCCCACCCACCGGCGCGCGCCGCGAACCCCCCCCCCCCTCGGCCACCGCCGCCGACGCTAGCGACATCTATACCGGCGGTCAGAAACAGAATGCATTCCAAGGGCCGGATAACTGGGAAGTTACGGCGAACTCGTAAATCTGTTGTAATCGTGGACAATGTTGGTACGCTTTAGTTGGTATCGTGATAAGGCTGCAGGTGGATCAGTGCACCTGGCATATTACTCGTATAACAATATCAATGCCGCAAACTGCACTGGTATGGTTGCCCCGAAGAAGGAACGTACTCAGAACTTGTAACCAAGTCTGTCAAATGTATATATATATACAGAGAGAGAGAGAGAGAGAG